ATGAAGCTTACCACCTTTTGAATGTTTCAGTAGAGGACATTCGGAAATTAGATGTTCATTCGAAGCACAATACATACATAAGTTTAGTTGTCTCCTTCTTATTCTTTCTTCAGAAGTAAGAGGACTTTTTATTATACCTACTTCCATAGGTTCAGTTTGTGGAGGAATTTTTCAGGTAGTTTTAGAGTAGTGAAAGGTTTTCTCCAGGTAGAATTAGTAAGAACCCTTTCAGCTTTTCTTTCTCTTAGACGTCTATCAATACTGATAGACAGTTGAATCAATGCATTTAAGGTAGGAGGAAGTTCTGTACGAGAGAGTTCATCTTTCACAGCTTCAGATAATCCGAGACGGAATTGATTGCGTAAAGTAATGTCATTCCATTGGGTTTCTGTAGCCCATCTTTTGAATTCTGCAATATAATCTTCAACAGGTCTATTCTTTTGGTGTAATGTTCTGATGGTTAAATCAGCAGTAGTTTGTTTAAAAGGATCTTCATATAATAAAGACATAGCTTCAAAGAACTCATCCAATGAATCCAATATGGGATCATCATTTTCCAAAAAGGAATGGGCCCATGCCATAGGTTCACCTCTTAAAAAAGAGATCACTGAACAGACTTTGGATCTTTCGGTGGGATAAGATCTAGGTTTTAAAGCAATTAGTAGTTTGCAAGAATTCAAAAACTCTCTGTACTTTGTTCTATCTCCATGAAATTTTTCTGGATTACAGACAGCAGGATCACCAGCCGATTGAAGAGCGGCATGAGGAAGATGACCTTGAATGTCTCTAACATAGGTTAATATTCTCTCATTTGTAATTTGCAGTTCCTGTAACCCTTGAGCAATCGTATCCACTCTATTGGTTAGGGCAGAAACTTGAGAGTTAATATCTGCTGGTTCCATTGAAGAGGCTGAATTATTCTGTAATACTTATTTTGTAATATTTCTTTAATTGGAACTCAACTGCAGCATTTCTTGGTTGCAACAACAATAAGGTTCACCTCCTTTTATATTGGTATGAAACTATGGTCACTGTACCTTTAAATATCCATGTAGGTAAAATTAGGCTTTGTAGCAATCCCTTATGAGTAAGAGGAATAATTAGACAAAGTGACACTTTAGTGAGTTTTAGATACTGTGTAATATAAATAATAGTAATTGACTTGTTTGGTAAAAGTATTACTTAACTTAAAGGCAGTTCTGGCACTGGAAGGGTTAATTCACCCAATGAAGGAGAAATTAGAAGTCCGTTTCAACAAGCTGAGAACTAGGAGTGGAGAGTGGGGAAGTCCGTTTTAACAAGCCGAGGTCTGGGAGTGGAGAAGGTAGAATTCAGAGTTACAAGCCGAGGTCTAGGAGTGGAGAAGGTAGAAATCCGTTTACAAGCCGAGGTCGAGAAGTGGAGAAGGTAGAAATCCGTTTACTAGCCGAGGTATAGAAGTGGAGCAGGTAGGATCAGAAGTAGAGCAGCTGATCTTCATGCAGCACCTGTGCGAATAATCCAGCCCTTTGAATCTGGCGCGGTCCTCCTAAGTATCGTGGAGGGACCGCGTCAGAGAAAGGGGCGGGGCTGAGCGCCGTGAACCCGGAAGTGGGTTCCGGCGATAAATTACATGCCATGCTATACCTGACACTAGACATCCAGGGAGGATAAGTATGCTGGCATCATCCTCCTCAAAGTTTTAAACTTCTTTGTGTTGTTGCATCCTAACAAATCTCTTTATGTGTATCTCCTGAGCCTTTTTGTGTGTTTTATTCCTGAAACCCATCTTTCAAACTTAACCCTTAACCCTCCTTATATCTTGCCTATTTCTGAGCCCTCTTAACCTTGTTCGATCACATACATTCACAGTGACATGCATACATACACACAGACATGCATACATACAGTCGTACTCAAAAGTTTGCATACCTTGGCAAATTTTTGTGATATTTTGGCATTGATTTTGAAAATATGACTGATCATACAATAAAATGTATTTTATTGAAGGATAGTGATCATATGGAGCCATTTATTAACACATTTTTTTTGGCTCTTTTTTAAATCATAATAACAGAAATCACCCAAATGGCCCTGTTCAAAAGTTTACATACCCTTGAATGTTTGGCCTTGTTACAGACACACAAGGTGGCAATTCAAGGTTAATTTTCCACACCTTTGGCTTTTTAAATTGCAATTAGTGTCTGTGTATAAATAGTCAATTAGTTTCTTAGCTCTCATGTGGATGCACTGAGCAGGCTAGATACTGAGCCATGCAGAGCAGAAAATAACTGTCAAAAGACCTGTGTAACAAGATAATGGGACTTTATAAAGATGGAAAAGGATGAATGGGATCCCCCAGAGATTACTGGGAACAGATGGATCAATCTTATGTTACAGATATGATGTTATATGCGCATGTCATGAGAGGATATCTGTTGTTATAGCAACAATACACCATCTCCATTTTTGGTTTATTTGTTTTTATGTTAGGGATTACATGTATTACCTAGGTAACACAGGTAATTTAGATTCTATGTGGGACAACTTATTGATTAGGGGAGTGGCTACTGCCTTTTTTTAACCTGCTGATTCTATATATACATATTGACAAGTGTCTGTAGGGGATAGGATGGATATTTTGCCGGAGCTGCACCCTCTTTATCAGACAGGATCCTGGGAATCAGTCAAGAAGACAAGAGATGTGTTCTATAACCAATTCAAATTTTAATTGATACATCAGTTATACTTATACCCCATTTTCATGTCGGTGGGGGTCATTGAGCATTGTGACATAGTTTATTTTTCACAAGTTTTCAGTTATAATTCGATGTTACATAATGTATGCATATTGGATAAAACCCAGATGATTACAAATACAGAAATCTTGGACAATTAACAAGGTCATTCCAGAATCCTTATCATGTCATGTCATGTCATGTCATGTCACGCAAATATCTTTTTTCCAGGAACATAACAAAATCATGTTTCAATAACATTTCTGAGAATTGGAGATACAATTCCAAATTTATTCTTGATTCAAATTAACCCTTACATGAACAGTTAGGATATAGAGCAAAATGGATATTCATATCCTACAATTCCTCTCTTTAGATCATATCGTGATCTACCTTATGGAATATCCATGGGAGGCCTGCGGCAGAGAAACGAAAGGAGGTATATTCAGACGTGCTAATCACGTCTGCGGGACTTTCCTTATTTCTTCACCTCGATTTCCCCCATTTGCTCTATGCCGTAGGTTTTCCCATTAAGAGGAGATCGAGCTGTCGATTTTCAGCTTTTGTAATCATCTGTTGTACACGTTTCTTAAGTGTGCAAGTTAGATAACAATTAAACAATATCATTATTGCAAGTATTATCACAATGATGACAAGAGGGTAGAAAAAGGACCTTACAACTTGTGCGCCAGTAGGGGACCAACCTGTGAGGGCATCATACCAATGATGAGCAAAATTTTCCTGGATTTTAGAACTAACTTTAATTAATTCCCTTTCAACTATGTGGGTGGATATTTCAGTATGTACTAAGGCATCTTTATGTGCTTTCAAATGTTTAAACATATCTCCTTTTCCTCTTAGTAAATTAATTATTATTCCTGTAGGAAGTTGATAATCAACGATAGGTAACGCAGGTGGAATATATTTTTTAGATCTGTATATACTAGGAATAGGTTGCAGGAAATAAGTATGATCTTTCCATTTTATCCAGGTTGCATTTGATATACATCCTACAAAGGGTAAATGTTTAGCAACTTCGGGAATATTGACAGGTTGTTTGGTAGCTAGGCACACTATTTGTGGTTCTATTTCTAACATAACTGAATAATCCGATGGATATACATGCCAAGTACAACTACTTATTTGATTAGCTAATAAGCATGGTTCATAGATGGGTGAGGAATGTCTGCATGTGTAACCTTTATCTGCCTTGTCACAGTGTTCTAATGAATATGTTTTATTATCCTTGGGGAATATATATTCTCCTGTAAAAGTTGGATTCCACCAAGTAAGATTATCATTAAGTATATTAAACATAGGTGTAGGTAAAGTAAAGAACTTACATGCTAGTTTTATATGGGTTGGAGCAACTTCATATAAGGTAAATCCAATCCTACATGAATAACTCGATATCTCATCTTCTACCCATTCTTCACAATCTACATCATTTGACCTTAAACTAATCCAATAATTGTCAGTCAATTCCATCATTTCTCTGACTTTCTGTATTTTAGGTACCATAAGAGTATTCTCTAGTCTTAACCTTTGTTGATGCATCCATAAAACTCTAGTGGCACATAAGGTCCAGTCAGTGCTTCCTTTTGTTAGGTTAGTAATAGCATATGTTAGATTACCCAGATAGGTGTACATAGATTGTTCTAATTGTAATTCCTTCCATTGTGATTGTACCATGGTAGGGGCCCATTTAGCCATTACATGAAATCCTATCCCTAATTCTTTCCCTGCCGTGGATAACTTATTCTTTAGTATTTCCATGTCTACACCATTTAATATTCCCATAGCTGTTCCTGTACCCCCTAAGAGGGTATCATACCATTCTCTCTTCTCTCTATTAGGTAGTGGATTACATAATCGTACATCAGGTGTAGATATATTTAGTGTTATGTGTACAGCCTTCTGAATTATAGTAGTGTTTACACATGATGAGGGTATTGGAATATGGGAATAATTATGAACAGTAGGTGTAGTATGTGGGCTACAATATAATAAAACCGCGAACCAACCTCTGTTCTCTATTCTACTTCTATTATATATGATACGGACGTATCCTCTAGGCCATGTGGCATTATACATGCTATGAACATTATCAGGAGCGATAGAAGTAAGGGGAACTGGATTGTCTTGATCTAAGGAAACATTAGTATTTTGCAAATAATAAAATATTGAACCAACTCCTTTGTTTGTGAAAGGATAAGGTTCTGAAAATAGCCAAGCAAGAGTATAAAAACCAGTAGTGTTAGTAATTGTTATAGAGCAATTTACGGAATCATCATGCAATGGTTTGACCACTACTTGTGCAGTCTTTGCAGCAATGCATATTTGACCTTTAGTTGTAATATTAAGTACAAGGCAGGTTTTGCCGCCATTACATATAAAATCCTCTTGTGTTCTAGTCTCTTTAGCACGGCTCCACCAAAATACTGATTTAGAAGAACAATTGGTGTGAGTTTGCAAAGTCTTGTCTGTGGGTAGTGATCTTTTGTGTCTGGTTCTATTAGTAGGATGATCAAGGCCTAATTGGACACTGTAACTGGTGGAGTTGTGATCTTTCCAGAAGCAGACCTTCTGGAACTCTCTCATATTCTCATAATCATAGTGACAATCAAGAAGGACAATCAGCGGTGGGAAGAGAATCATGGAGAGAATTAGGATGATGAAAAAATTATTTGCCCCATGCAAGGGATCCAATAGGTTTACTTTAGCCATAGCACTTCAGATAAGGATGTTGGGTCGTCAGGGCCAATCGGAGTAAGGACCTTAAGCTTGTCTCCTACTTCACCTCTCTTTGGACACGGCTTCAGACGGGATGCATGGATCCAGATATCTTGGGAATCGGTGAGCACAGTGGTTCGGGTCACGGCAATCACAGTGGTAGGCGGACCAAAAGGAAACTTTCCCTTCCTGCTCTTGTTCAGCTGTCGGATACAGACCAGATCACCAGGCTGATAAGGATGTGTAGGTTCCTGTGAGGGTAGAGGAAACTGCACGGAAACATCACCATATACAGAGTTGAGTTTAAAAATTAACTGTTTAACATATTCTTCCTGGATTAAGTCTAAATCACCAGGCATAATAACAAATCGTCCCTTCACCCAAGGAGTAGGAAATGGTCTTCCCATGAGTATTTCAAATGGTGACAATTTAGTAGTCCTGCTAGGGGTCATTCTTATTTCAGCTAAAATAGCAGGTAAGTATGTTTGCCAGTGAACCCATGTGCCATCTGTGGCCTTCATCAGTTTCTCCTTAATTGTCCTATTCATTCTTTCTACTATACCTGAACTCTGGGGATGGTAGGGTACATTAAATTTCCAGGTAACCTGTAACCATTTGGCCAGTTCCTGTGTAACTTTGCTAGCAAAGGCAGGGCCATTATCAGAATTGATCTGCAATGGGCAGCCATACCTAGGAATAATTTCAGTGGTCAGTATTTTCACCACAGTCCTAGCATCCTCCTTATTAGTAACAAAGGCCTCGGGCCATTTTGAGAAGTGATCCACAATCACCAGTAAGTATTGTTGTCGCTTACCTGTTTTGGGGATGTGGGTGAAATCTACCTGTAAATGGGTGAAAGGGCCTGTAGGTGGTGGGAGGTGTTCATGTCTAGCCTTGTGTGTGACAGTAGTATTGGTCTGTAAGCATTGGACACACCTCTGTAAGTATACCTGACAGTGGAGAGAAAGATTCAAGATTACAAAATGTTGTTGAATAAGACCCAAAGTAACCTTAAGACCCTTGTGACCCACTCCGTGTGCCTGGGAAATAAAAATAGGGGCACTGCTTTCTGGTATCCCTATCTTCCCCTCTTTGGAATAAAGGCCATTTTGGTCTTTTTCCAAACCTTGTTTTTTCCAGTATGCAATATCTTCATGGGTTGCAAAACCCTGAAGTTCTTGCAACAACTGTTCTTCTGGGCAGGTAGGGGGACTAAAAATTGAAAATATCATACGATAATAAATGGTCTGAGATGCTACCTCTTTGGCAATTCTATCTGCTAGTGCATTGCCTAGGGATATATCATCCCTACCTTGAGTGTGAGCTCTACAGTGAATGATAGACACTGTACGAGGAAGTTGCAAAGCATGCAAGAGGTCTTCAATTAATGTCTTATGAGAAATGCCTTTACCATCAGCTGCAATGAATCCTCTTTGTTTCCAAATCATTCCAAAATCATGCACAACCCCATGAGCGTAACGTGAGTCAGTGTAAATATTTACATCTTTGTTAGTGAATAGAGTGCATGCACGTGTAAGGGCAACCAACTCAGCAGCTTGGGCTGACATGTGGGGTATGGAGCTAGCCTCAAGGACCTTATCAGGTAATTGTAGAATGAAAAAAGTATACAAACAGAGCCTAGCACTTATTATACAACAATCAGAAATACTTATTGTGATAAACTTTATACCATTTAGCTGCTAAACATTCATATGATCCCTTTCAATATCATCAATACAAAAAACAGATAAAAAATAAATAGAGAATGTAGCGCTTTAAATACTTAGTGTCACCTTTTATATAGCTTGTGAGAGGGATTTTTTATTAATATCCCTGATTCCACGTGTTTCTTTTTCCTTAATAAAGTGTAATAATCAGTTTTTTGATATTACTTGAGTGGAGATTTTTCACCAGTATCTCGAAACGTTTTTTTAATGCTGAAGGAAAATCTTTTTCACTCGTATTCCAAGTAGGCAATAAATCTAAAAGACAATTATAGCAACATAGTATAGCCCATAACAGATTTTCTAAAATGTTATAAATATAGAAATGGCACACTTATAAACCCGGAGCTGCAAACTCAGCTCTAGTTGGATTCACTTCTGGGTCCGTTTAGGCGACCCACCCCTCAAAAGGAAATGATATTCAGTCCTAAAGGGGAATGGGTATATAAAAAAAGATAGCGTAATATTGTTAAAGTGAATGAATCCCTTGTAAAGAAATCCCATATATGGGTACTCACAAACGTGGAGTCTGACTGACTCTCTTATCGAACTTTATGCAGGCTAGGGGCTGCATTCCCATAAGGAGTAATAAAGGTGTTGAACCAGGTAAATGTAGAATAAAAAATAGAATAATTTATTAAATCTATAAAAGAAAATAAGGAACAATGTCCCAATAAAAACCGGAACGCGTTTCACCACTTCGTTGTGGCTTCCTCAACCGGATAAATCAGCTGCACATATTCTGGTTCACCTTTCTGTTTATATGTATCATCCTTAATTGGTTGATTGTTACATTGTGTGTGTGGACCGCATACGCTGTTACTATCTATTAGTAATGCGTGTGCGGTCCAAGCCTCAATCATTCTATGTGCTCCGATAATGCAGGCGGACGTCCCTATTTGGAACTCCGTCTGCCGTTTTTTTATATTAAAATAGGAGCATCTGCATAAATTCTATTTTCACATCTTTTCTTTCGTAATATGAATTCTTTTGGTTCTTCTAGTATTTCCAGTTGTGCCGAAGTGTAAAGTCCTTAGGGCTTTCTTGTGATTCTTAAAGGTTTTCCCTTTTTTTTTTTTTTTTTGGTGTTTGTTTGTCCCTCGGCAGTTTTTAAAGGTATAGAGTCCATAAACGTCTTTTAACATCCTCAAAGTCACAGGCATGTAAAAAATACAAAGGAAAAAATATTCCATATTAGTTCTATTGTTGACATATTGTTAATTTAAAGTATCTCTGATTATGATATTAACACATACAAAAATTTCAATATCCATATATCTATATACAAATATCTCCAAATATAATAGTAATATTAATGTATATAGAATTTAAGTATCCATACCTCATGTTTAAAAATTATATTTACTATAAGATATATATACCTATCAATTGCAAGAAAAAGGGAGGAGCTTTATCAATCCTTTTTTTTTTTTTTTTTCCTTCTTTCTTCTTTTTCTTTCCTTCCCTCAATATTTATTATCTACTATTATTACTCAATTATGAAATATTAAACTTCTTACATAACTTACATCAATCTATCCTACTTCATAACTCCTTACTTTTTTCTCCTCCTCTAATCTAAATATTTTTCTTTTTTTACAATTTTATAGGGAAATTTTTGTTATTATTATTTATGGGGTGGTTCTATAAGAAATGGCACAACTCAAAATCTGAGTTAAGGCCATATGGAATTAACATATTTAGCGTATAGAGAACTGGGTAAAATAGAGATGGAGTGGATCTATAGGCTAAATACGTTAATTCCATATGGCCTTAACTCAGATTTTGAGTTGTGCCATTTCTTATAGAACCACCCCATAAATAATAATAACAAAAATTTCCCTATAAAATTGTAAAAAAAGAAAAATATTTAGATTAGAGGAGGAGAAAAAAGTAAGGAGTTATGAAGTAGGATAGATTGATGTAAGTTATGTAAGAAGTTTAATATTTCATAATTGAGTAATAATAGTAGATAATAAATATTGAGGGAAGGAAAGAAAAAGAAGAAAGAAGGAAAAAAAAAAAAAAAAAGGATTGATAAAGCTCCTCCCTTTTTCTTGCAATTGATAGGTATATATATCTTATAGTAAATATAATTTTTAAACATGAGGTATGGATACTTAAATTCTATATACATTAATATTACTATTATATTTGGAGATATTTGTATATAGATATATGGATATTGAAATTTTTGTATGTGTTAATATCATAATCAGAGATACTTTAAATTAACAATATGTCAACAATAGAACTAATATGGAATATTTTTTCCTTTGTATTTTTTACATGCCTGTGACTTTGAGGATGTTAAAAGACGTTTATGGACTCTATACCTTTAAAAACTGCCGAGGGACAAACAAACACCAAAAAAAAAAAAAAGGGAAAACCTTTAAGAATCACAAGAAAGCCCTAAGGACTTTACACTTCGGCACAACTGGAAATACTAGAAGAACCAAAAGAATTCATATTACGAAAGAAAAGATGTGAAAATAGAATTTATGCAGATGCTCCTATTTTAATATAAAAAAACGGCAGACGGAGTTCCAAATAGGGACGTCCGCCTGCATTATCGGAGCACATAGAATGATTGAGGCTTGGACCGCACACGCATTACTAATAGATAGTAACAGCGTATGCGGTCCACACACACAATGTAACAATCAACCAATTAAGGATGATACATATAAACAGAAAGGTGAACCAGAATATGTGCAGCTGATTTATCCGGTTGAGGAAGCCACAACGAAGTGGTGAAACGCGTTCCGGTTTTTATTGGGACATTGTTCCTTATTTTCTTTTATAGATTTAATAAATTATTCTATTTTTTATTCTACATTTACCTGGTTCAACACCTTTATTACTCCTTATGGGAATGCAGCCCCTAGCCTGCATAAAGTTCGATAAGAGAGTCAGTCAGACTCCACGTTTGTGAGTACCCATATATGGGATTTCTTTACAAGGGACTCATTTACTGTAACAATATTACGCTATCCTTTTTTTTTTTATATACCCATTCCCCTTCAGGACTGAACATCATTTCCTTTTGAGGGGTGGGTCGCCTAAACGGACCCAGAAGTGAATCCAACTAGAGCTGAGTTTGCAGCTCTGGGTTTGTAAGTGTGCCATTTCTATATTTATAACATTTTAGAAAATCTGTTATGGGCTATACTATGTT